ATCTAGATATGGGTATACTGGTATTATTATAAAAGTCTCCCAACTTTATGTATGTTTGAAAATTGCACATAAAACGTTGGGGGTAAATAAAATTCGGTTTAAGGGAACTTATACATCACAAAATCACCTGTGCTATTTTCTAACACAATGTTTTCTAATATTATAAAATCTTATTACCCCAGGTTAACTTAAATAGGTACATAATCCTGCTATTCAGTAAGCTATCTCAAATAACTTTATTCCTTTATTCAATTATATTACTGCCACTTTTTAATCACTGTCAACTTTGATATGTATATGAAGCTCCTTTGAATGTGACCAAGATTTTCTTTAAGTTTTCACTTTTGTTTGATAATGAAAAAGAATTAAATAATCTTTCGAATAGAATTTTTCAATTTTTTTTTTAAAAGCCTTTAACAATTCCAGTATGCATGAATTATCCTGTATGGTTGGTTCAATTATCCAAGACTACCTAAGTCTTTCTGAATCCTGACACAGTGGGATATAAATATGGCCCCTGTACAATTAGGAACCCTTTAGGGAGATTAGAAAACTCCTTCCCTGCAATAACAGAAACTGCCAGGAAGTGGCAGGAGGGCAACAACAAGCATTTCAGTAACATTTATTGATGTTTACTGTATGACAGGCATTGTTCTAGAATCTGGTCATAAAAGAATGAGAAAGACATGGGCCTTGTCTTGTAGGATACAAGATAAATGTTACTGAATGAAAGAATTAATGTATACTTCCTTGTCCAGCTTTGTATCTGTTTCCTGTTTGTAGTCAGCTGATAAAACTGTACAGCATTTTATAGTTTACAAAAAGACTTTAACTTGTATTATTAAATTTGTGCATTCAACCAGTACTTACTAGATACCAATTCTGTTGGAGACCACTGGAGTTACACCATCAGTAATAGAAGGGGGTAGGGCTACTCTGGAAAGGATGATCAAGGAAGATCTTCAAGCTAAAAGCGAATAAGATCTAAAGGATGGAAGGTATGGGTAGAGAAAGAGAACAGCCTTGAAACAAAAGCGAGAAGGCCAGTGTGGCTGGAGCAGAGTAAGTTAAACTGATTTATTCAACTGAAGCTTACCACATGAGATAAAACAGATAATCTACAATTAATACAATTAGTGATTTTCCCAACCAATGAAGGAAGCTAGTAACAAATCCCAGCCTCATCACTCCAAGGCAGGCTTTTCCCAAATCATCAGTTGTTTATGACATCTATAGGATAGACCTGCACTGTCCAATACAATATCCATTAGCCATGTGTGCACATGAAATATGAATCGTCCGAATCGGTACGTGCTGTAAATGACGTACACACAGATTTTAAAGACCTACTATGAAAAAAAGAAAGTAAAATATCTCACTGATAATTTTTTATAACAATGTTAAACAATATTTTGGATAATTAGGTTAAATAAGATATATTATTAAAATTACATCACCTGTTCTTTTTACCAGTAGAAAAACGTTTAATTACATATGTGGTTCGCATTATGTTTCTATTGGCCTGCACTGATATATACCCTCTCAGTATGTTTGTCTTAAAACTAAAAGCTCCCAGGGCCAGGCCCTTGAATTCTGCAGTGATGATGAGCCTTGCACCGACCCTCCCCACTCCCAGTTTTAACTTCAGCTCTAAGGTCCCTGTATCAAAACTTTGAGCCTCAGGAGAGTTTTCATGCTTCCAATGGGACTAGCAGCCACCTCATGGGTCGTTTATGAAAGTAAACGGTAAAAGTTCCCGGGCAACAAGGGCAGACCCCGAACGACCAGCTCACCCGGTAGTTCTCGAAGGCCTCGTCGATGGGCGCCATGGTGTGGGCCTGGTGTTCCTGGGACTCCCTACACACCAAGCACACGGGCCGCTGGTCTTCCTCGCAGAAGAGCCGCAGCGGCTCCCAGTGGCGGCCGCACAGGCCGGCGGGCACTGGGCCCTGGCGCCTGGGCCGCGTCTTCTTCGCGAGCCGGGCCAGGACCCAGTTGGGCCGCAGTGAGGCAGGCGACGACAGCTGCCGGCACTCCGGGCAGGGGAACTGGCCGCCGCCAGGTGCCCAGCTGTGTTGCAGGCAGCAGCGGCAGAAGTTGTGACCGCACTCGATGGACACCGGGTTCTTAAAATAGTCCAGACAGATGGGGCAGGTCAGCTCCTCTTGGAGATCCTCGTTTTCCATGACGCTACTCTTTCCCACAGCCCGAGTCGGGTCGAATGCGAAGCGCCGGGGCCGTCTGCAGGTTGCAGGTGTGCCCGGGAGGCCGGCAGCCCTCGGATCCGCGGCCGACGCCTCCTGCGGCTGGGAAAAGTTAAATCTCACTTTAGGGGGCTGAGATGCAATCCCGGCGCGTGCTGGCTGGGCGGCTGCACCTCCCGGCGCGCGAGTGGCGGGGCCGCGGCGCACTAGCACCGGAGACTCGGGGTTTCTGCGCTGGGAGGCCCGGGCCTGGCCGCGGAGCATGACGGGACCTGGGCTGCTCCTCCGGCCAACAATAGAGCTGCGGAAATTCTCCGGAAAACCTAGAGAGGAAGCTGGGATCTCTGGGGTTTGGGAAGGGCGCCAAAGGGCGGCGACTACGCCTGTGCAGCCACGACTGGTGGAGCTAAACGGGGAGGTGCTAACGAGTTTGGTTTGTCTATCAAGTTTGAAAGGTGAGATTAAGATTAGCTGGCTCTGGAGCCCTAGGCAAGCTGCACCCAGGAGGACGTTCTGGCCCCGTGGGGAGGACTAGCGGGATCTGTGTAGCTGGGGAAGGAATCTAGGATTAGATGGCCTTCCCCAGATTTGATTTCCCACCAGTGTTTTAGGTAGTTCAACTCCCAGGAGGTCTGCGGACTGTGGGATGCTCTGAACCAACTCTTGGTAATCTGCTCTGAGTGGCTGTCATCTAAAATCCTGGGAAAGAGCAGATCCTGTAGCTTCCTCTGCTGGAGCAGTTCCCCATGCTCCTGCTTGAGGAGGTCAAGACCAGGGTGTGAGAGCAATGCCTGGAGAGTGGAGCTGAAGGCGAAGCTGTTGTAAGGATACTTTGAAAGACCTAATAAGAGCAGGAGAGTGGGTGAAAAGGAAATGAAGTTTTTTAAGTGGGAGCGATTAAGATTCAGAAGCATAGATACATTGCCTTTTGGTACCCAGCTAGAAGACAGCAACCATTTTGCTATCCCAATCCATTGAGGCTTTCAACAAACAATATGCTTGCCTGTTTCCGGGAATTATCTGTTTCTCTTCAATTGATTTTTGATCTTGTGTTTCTGAGGTGCTTTATTATTATTATTATTAGTAGTAGTAGTAGTAGTAGTAGTAATAGTAGTATTCCAACTTTATTCCCTGTGGACCGAAAAAGGGCCACATGTTAAACCTGACAAACTCGGGAGACTGAAAATAATCACAGAGGATGGCATGAACATAAAGAATTCCTAACTAAGGTCGGCCATGGCGGGAAGTCACATCCTTGTCCTGTAGCTTCCTTGA